AGCCGGGACAGAAGCCAGGCATCCCGGTGAGGTCTCCTAGCAACAAAGTAAGAATATCGGAGACTCTTGCGATTCACACAGTTGCTATTACTGATTCTGCATATTCGCGAGACTCTCCCGTCCCTCCCGTTACACCCCATCCCCCGGCCTGGGAGGGGGGACGCCGCATCGGGGGACCTGTTCCCGGACGGCAGCAGCAGTTCCAGGGCCTGCCCCCACTCACCGTGGTGGAGTTCATTGCAGCAAAGTAAGAATATCGGAGACTCTTGCGATTCACACAGTTGCTATTACTGATTCTGCATATTCGCGAGACTCTCCCGTCCCTCCCGTTACACCCCATCCCCCGGCCTGGGAGGGGGGACGCCGCATCGGGGGACCTGTTCCCGGACGGCAGCAGCAGTTCCAGGGCCTGCCCCCACTCACCGTGGTGGAGTTCATTGCAGCGGCCGGAAGCTGCTGCCCCGCCGTACTGCACTCGGGGATTTTGCCGTTGGACACCCCTCCCCCCAGTGACATGGCTGAGATCTGGGGGGAAGTGGAGCCCGGGGAGTGGAGCTACGTTTCTGCTTTTCCCGCCATCACTGTTGGTGTGTGTGTCTGTGTGGGGGGCCAACCACTACTAGTGCCACCTCCCCCCACTAGTCCTCAGGCCATCCAGAGACTCTGGTCCTTGCCGCTCCCACCCAAGGATTTTGGGGGAGGGGTGTCTCGTGCCCCCTTAGCTCCCTCAGACATCGCCCCGGCTGTTTGGTCTGGATGAATTCAGTCTTTCTGTCTCCCTTTTGCAACTCTCCCCTCACCGGCCGTTACTGGGGCCTTTGATGAACGTTCACTCACTTTTCATAGCTGAGCTTGCCAGGAGGTCGATCTGCAGACCGCGTGTGTGTCTTGGGTGGGAACGGGAGGAGAGTGCACATTGCAGCAGCACAGACACCCTCAGAGAGGGGGGCGCGTCCCCCACACATCAATTATACTCCGCTACCAAGAGGTCTCCTGTCTATAGTGTCTCAGGGTCTTGCGAAAGCCCAGCTGGATCGAGAGACGATCAGAAGAGATGCCCAGAGAAATCTGTCAGATCTCCAGCACCACCTAGGTGAGCGGATCCAGGAAACGTTCCTCACCCTTTCATCCGGCAGATCTTCTCTCACCTCAAGTCAGAGGAGAGTCAGTCCCAGGGGTTAAACTCTTGGCTGGTGATGGCCGTGGAGCCGAGCTGGCTTCCGTGAGCCCGGGAGCTGGCCCACAGCTACTCCTCGGAGGGGTGTGATTTTTTTCACACCCTTGACAGGTGTAGCTTTTCTGACCCATCCTGTTCTGTAGACAGGACTGGGTTGATGGAAGGATTTTTCCATTGATACGGCCACGGTCTCTTGGGAAAGTGGGTTAACTGCCATGACAGGGACACCCCTCCTGTTGCAGTGAGCATCTACACTGAGGTGCTGCAGCTGGCACATGTTAGGTGTGGCTCTACCCTTAAAAGCTGCTATACCAGGTCCTGATCCTAGGACCACGGATTGTCCAATAAGTGTTTGTTCGGATGAGGTCATGCTTCTTCCTTGTGTCCCATTGGCTGAGAGTGTCACCCAGGTGGGCAAGCCCTGGGCAGGAGTAGAATTGGTCTGTCCCAGGAGTAGGCAGGTGTCCGGAGCCCCATAAATGCAGCTACTGCTGGGGGGAGTGGGAGCTGAGTCCGGTTTCACCCAGTACACACCCCAGCGGAGCCAAAGAAAGGATCTGGGCAGAGGGAGGCCTCAGTCTGCCCTGAGAAGTGTGGTGCCCAGCCACCCAGCAAATGGCCCTGCCAACCCACGGAAGGTTGGGACCATTGCAGAGGGGTGGGGCAAAGAGGGGCCCCATGCGGAGGATGTCAGATGCCCCTGGATTGCCTCAATGCAGTCCTGGGTGTGACCCGTTCTTTCCAGCACACTCCCCCTGCGCGGGTCCCTGCCGGGTCTCTCTGAATAAACGCTGCTGTTCACTTGCTGACTCTGAACATGGCAACGAGCTGTGCCCAGCTGGACTGCCTGGGTGCTGCTGTGCCGCACGTCACGGGCACTGGGCATGTCCTGGTAGCAGTGGGCTCGTGGGCAGCCCCTGCTGCTCCAAAGGGCGTTTGCGCTGCAGCTGAGTCGAGGGTGGCTGGTGTTTAGGGTACATCAAGGGCTGGACCTCAGGAGCTCGGACTTTGGTCCCCCGTTCGACTGCCGACTCCCCATGTAACTGGGAAGGAGTCTTGGCGTCTCTATGAGCCTCAGTTTCCCTATCTGTGAAATGGGGAACATTTCTGGGCTGTTTGCTTGTAACTGTCTCTCACTCCAGGCCTGGGCAGGGCTGACCTCAGCACATAGCACAAAGGGGCCTTGATTGCAGGTGGGGTCTAAAGGAGCACAGGGATATAACTCCCTAACAACTATACGTGAAACCCACTCACGATTGCCCAGAATTTTCGCACACACCTGGATGAACAGTTGTGCTCCCCAGGGATGGTGCATGGGGTCGGGGCAGCACGAGGGCCTGTGTTGTTAGTTCAAAGGGGAACTCCCCATTCTCTCCTCTTTCTTTAGAGTCGAAGATGTCCAATGAACTCGGCGGGCTTAGCAGTCAACTTCTCAACGGTAGGTTCTGCTGAGGTTTCGCGCCATGTTGGGCATAAGCCGCTCCGTGGGCTGCCAACCCAGCATTCTAAGTCACGAGAGAAGCTCACGAGACTGGCTTAAAATGCACGAGATTTTCAAAAATACACTAAACATGGGGCTTGATTGACGAGTGTTCTGGTTTCCGAGCCACTCCGGTCTCACGTGGGTCACTTTAAAGCCGGTCTCTGCTCCCGCGAGGGGCAGAAATTCATTTTTAAATGAAAGCCGAGACTCCAATCTGCAGAAGGCCCTGGGGGCGTGAAGAAAGATCAAATCTCACAAGACGGGTAAGAAAATCCTGGGGGTCGGCAGCATGGAGCCTTGCGGGGAACTTGGGCGAGGGCTCCCCCCTTGACGTGCCCTGGATGGCAGGTGTCAGCCCCGTGTTGTTTGCAGTGTCCAAGGAGCTGGCTGGGCTTAGGCGAGGGATGGAGAAGATCCAGGCTGATCAGGTGAAAGACCCATCGACGCTGCAGAAGGTCTTGGGTGAGAAAATCCTTTGCCCTCCCACGCCACTGCCGGGCAGGGGGAACCGTGGGTCTGAGCTTCCCGCGTGGAGGTCAAGCTACTATGGAAGGAGAGAGGGGACGACCCTTCTCTGCCCCAAGCCCTGCTCCTGCTCCACCCACCCCCACTCCTCCCTTCTCCAAGCCCTGCCCCTACTCCCCTCCTCCCAAGCCTCTCT